TCGAACAGGATTATTTACTCTCGTAACTTTATCAATCATTTAAGACCCAATGACTTCCATATTCCCAAGAAATCAAAGAGGAAGCATCGTAGTGGTTGGCAGAGAGCTCTTAAACGTACACCAATTCACATAACTACGGTCCCTGTCATAATGAACACTAACTGCCGCTCTCTGCCTAACAAGATAATGTACCTGCAATCTCTGATGTACACTGACACCTATCAATATACTGCGATAATCACATTACAAGAAACATGGTTACATGAACTGTATGATGACAATCTCATCTCACTAAAGGACTTCATCCTATTTAGACAAGACCGACAATGTTGTAATAAGAAAAATAGGGGAGGCGTTGCAACTTTTATAAACTCCAAATGGTCTGTTTTTAATAATGTTTGCTTATCATTCTCAAATGACTTCATATACTGTATCACCGTCAAATGTCGTCCCAAACATCTCCCCAAATATAAACATATCTTTATTACAAACATGTACATTTCTCCAAGTTGCTCACTATCTAATCTTTCAAATTTTGCTGATGAATTCACCATGCTTGCCACTGCCAACTTCGACAACTCTCTATCTGTTATTACTGGGGACTTCAACTCGTCAGATTGCTCTTTCCTTAGAGCACTTGGTCACTCAAACATTGTCAAATTTCCCACTCGACTTGACAAAACACTTGATTTAGTTTTTACAAATGACGATGGAATATTTGAAACACGTAAACGTGCACCGATCCTCAACTCTGATCACTCTATTGTTCGTGTTCTACCGAAAATATGCAGCAAAACACATATTAAAGTCTTCTCACATCTGTCTATGAAAGCACAACAAAGATGCTACTCATCCGACAACTTACTCAATCTCAGATGCATGTTAAAAAATACTAACTGGGATTTATTCCATGAAAGTTCATTAGATGACACAATTGTCAATATAACGGATTATCTTAAGTTCTGCCTTGATATATGCTGTCCCAAACAAACACTATTCAAACGCCTCGACCGCTTCTCATCTCCTTATCTCAAACAACTTCGCAGGCAAAAAGAAACATTATACAAATCCAAAGACAAGTTAGGACTCAAAAAGATTAATGCTCTAATCAAATCTGAAATCAAAAATTTCAATGCTATGTATAATCATACACTTCTATCATGCAAATCTCCTATCAGCATGTGGAAACCTTTTAATGAAGTTACTGGCAATGGTAAGCGATGCAATGTTTTCCCCTCTTATGATGTTAACGCTCTTAATCAGTCTTTTATGCGTTCTCCTTCTACTATAATTACTTCTAGTGTTACAAATCACGCAGTTGATAACTTTCATGACTTTAATACTCTTGATGTTCTAAAATGTCTTAAAACGCTTAAGCCCTCACGTAGCCTTGGCCCTGATGGTGTACCTGCTTATGTTCTAAAACAATGTGCAGATGCTTTATGTTCTCCACTTACTAACATCCTAAACGTTTCTTTTTCCAAAAACGTTGTACCTGTTGCATGGAAAGACATTAAAATAGTCCCTGTCCCTAAACCTGGAAATAGCAAGAACGTAAAGTTCAGACCCATTGCCATTACTTCCCCGTTTCTAAAGCTGATGGAAAAACTAGTACTTCTTAAACTTGAACCCTCCCTTAAAAGTTTTGAAGACCCCAAACAATTTGCATATAGACAGGGTAGGAGCACTTTAGATGCTGCAGCCGTCTTACACAACAGTATCGTCTCATCATTAGATAAAGGTGCCAAATACGTCCGCTGCACGTTTCTCGACTTCACTTCTGCTTTCGACTCTGTACCTAGATGTCTCTTGCTAAATAAGCTCTCGATGACACAAACTGAGTCCTGGGTCACAAACTGGTTGCATTCCTATTTCTCAAACAGAATGCAGTACACTGTATACAAAGGTAAATCCTCCTCTGCTGTGCTCACTGAAGCTGGTGTCCCCCAAGGTGCTGTACTCTCCCCACTTCTCTTTTCTTTCTTTCTACATGACTTACCATCTTCAAATGACATTAATTTTGTTAAATATGCTGACGATCTGACTGTATCTTTGCCTGTCAAGTGTCAAAGTGACTGCTCCAAACTAAATGGCTTTTTATCAGAAATCAGCCAGTGGTCCAAGGAAAACGGTCTTACCTTAAATCCCTCTAAATGTCAAACAGTCAATTTCACCTTTAGGCATAAATCTGACCTAAACAAACTGGTTAGCACTCACGAGGTGTGCAACATAGATGGCACTGAAATAGAGACCAAGTCGGAAATTAAATATCTTGGCGTCATTCTATCTGCTGATCTTTCCTGGTCGTCTCATATCTTGATGATTTCTAAGAAAATATTCCGTCTTACCTTCTACATCAAGAAGTTAAGACATTCTGGAATAACCCAACCCTTACTCTTACGATTCGTTAACTCTTGCATCCTGCCTATTATTCTCTATTGTTCCCCCTTAGTTTTTCCAGGGCTACTGAAGAAGGACTATATCTTATTACGTAGGATGTTAAAGGTTGTCAGCAGGGTAAGCAACGTGCCACTTAACCAGCTTGTTAATATTCTGGTCGACAGGCACTTGGACTCATGTGAAAAATGGGCTAAATCCATTCTATCTAACTCACACCACCCTCTTCATTCACAACTCTCCCCTTGTATCTCATCAGGCAGAACCAGAAGCCTATATAGAAAACTATATGCTCGCACTAGCAAGTACAAAAACTCAACCATACCCTACTTAGCTCGTGTTCTGTGCGATAAAGAAAGCATTAGGCGTGAAACTTATAACTTATTAAATAGTCAGTAGAACAATTGGATCTCGTCTTTCCAACTCATATCATTTATAGGTACAACGTTTTCTTTCTTTCTTTTCCTTTTCTCTTTTTTTTTTGTTATGTGCTGTTTTGTTTCTCTCTTCCTTACAAACTCTACTTAAAACATTCTTCTTCGTTCTTTCACACTCTGTATATCTCGACCTTTTGTTACCGCTTACGCCAGTAAATATGCTAGTATCTACTTTTCTAACACCTTCAAACATTCTGTTCACTTTTGGCTTTGCTACCGATATGCTAATATGTTGTTGTCAAAATTAACTGAGACTACCCATAATCTATGTAGAATTTTATTTATTGTTAATGTACAAACTGGATGCAATACTGTAGTGAAATGCTGAGAATTCCATTCTGTATCACAAGTACTGTTTTGGAATAAAGCAAATTATTATTATTATTATTACTATAGACATGTACGACAAGTTTTTTTGGATAATTAATAACTTTTATTTCGTGTAAGCGGGTAAGTGATCGACTAACTAAGGAACTAACTGAGAAATCAACGTGGAAATTCAAACAGGCATGAATTATTCCAAATTTCACACTTTGAAAAAGCGCATATAAAAGATAATAGACATGTAATTGCACTATGATATACAAAAATATGTGAAAGTGAAAATTTAACGAAAAGAAGTGATACCCAGAACTCTGAATTTAATAATAAATAATGCGTGAATACATCTGCTATTATAAACAAATCCTTCTTAGCATTTCGAGGAATCCAACTAGTTAATTTGCACCTGCCTACATTGTTTACAGGACAGCGATTGACTCCATGAGTCAATATTTTTCAACTGTTGCCCAACTTGGGTGAAACATAATAAGTATTCATGCAGTGTTAGGTACGCAAGACATTTCTATAAGATTTATGAAATCCACTCGACTGGGGTGAGCAGGACGTGTGTTGCATAATCAGAACTGCTACCCTCCTTGACGAGCAATATCAGTATGGTGACATGAACTGATGCACTCTTATGCACAGTTCTAAAATAATAAGTTAAGAAAATAAGACTGATTTTATCACAAACCAAGATGTAATGGTAAGTCAATGCACAGCTGTTTTATTCCGTTTGATATGATTATGAACAATAAATTGTGTTCGAAACGTCATCCAGTAAATAATAGTTTCACTGTGTGATATATCTAATAAACAAATTAATATGTTTCATTCTAGTTTGAAGCCACCTTATCAACATAATAATAATAACGACCAGTCGTGAAGTAATATTTCACATCTGAAACATAAGACTTGCACCTCAAGCATCTTAATATGTCATACAGCGTTAACAAGACCACCTATTATCAATGTGGAAGTGCATTCTTGTGAATTTGCATGAGACGAAAGACCTCTATAAGTATATTTAAAGTTGGACAAAAATGTAGAGCAGACGTTCGTGGCAGGCACTAATTGATGCAAACACTAAATAATTTACCATGAGCTCTATAGGAGACAGAAGCTTTCGAGCAAATAACTCTAGCCAATGCTCACCTGTCAGGTGACATCCCCTTCTTTCGCTTAAGGTTCCTCATAGCCCTTTTAATCTCTTTAAGTGTTGAGGATTTCGTTTTATTCAACCTACCACGGCTGCCTTTAAGACTTTTGTTCAAATGACTTCACCACTTATCTCACTTTTTTGTCCCATGAGTTACTTTCTGGGTCATCTTTCTCCGCTTCAAACTCGCTAACCCCTAATTATATAACAGGAATCATAGAGCAACCTTAGCAGCTACCTGCTACACATTACCATTACTTTCATCTTTTACTTTCGTTGTCCGTCACTTTTTGATGTTAGTATAGTAGGCTTTTGTTGGGTAGCAATTAGACCATATTCTCTCTTCACAGAAAAGAAGGCAATTAGACCTCCTACCTCTTTATTACAGCTTCTAAAGGTCAGAAACAGTTAATAATACTGGGCAGATAACAGTAACCAGCTTCTCATGCTGCAGTAGGCCGAGTTATGTTGAAAGCCGGGACCCATTAGATGACTTAAGAAAGAATTTGAGTGATTAAGTTATAACTTCATTCAGCACAATTAGCAATAAGAGATGTGCCACAGCTCGTGCTAATTAGGTTACTGCACTAAGGTGAACAAGATTCTTTTCTTAGATGAGGATATGAAAACAGGATTAATCTTTTACATACATTATGAAAAGATAACTTTCTGTAAAAAGTGCTTACTTCCTCAGGATCGTCTACTTTATAAGTGAGTTTACCAATAGCATCTCCTAAGTTCTTCATCACTTTTATTGCTGATGCTCCAGATATTAACTGAGTGTTTGTGGCGCGTGGAAGCTCACCGTCATACTGAAGAAACTCGCGAAGGTCTTCATCAACCCGTAAAACTTGATGTGCTAGCACTCGTAATAGAAATCTATGGAATAAGTACAAACCACCTTACCGTTCAAGTGCCATTCTGCGGCGTTCAACAAATTCATTCTCCGCCGAGACATCTTTGGATATTTTGACCTTGGTTGTAGCTAGGAGAATTTTTAAGAAAAAACAATACGCCATTACCTAGCATATCCTTAGATGGAACAGGAGGAACGATAACCCCTTCAGAAAGATATTTAGAAACCAGGCGTTCGTGCAGTCCAAGGAAATCAGAAAATCGTCTTAGGACTAAGAATTCTTTGTCATTGAACTAAGAATAAACGTAGTGTTAATCGGCACAAACCTTCGAAATGACACGGTAAACTACATAGGATGAAATACCTTCCCCAACTTTCGCTGGGTTAGTTACTTTTACTGAGGTCTCATCACATCCACCGCTCTAAAGATCGAAAGTAAAATAACTTATGGCATACTGTTAAGTTTCCTTTCCCAAAATCAACAGATGGAATCCCGTGAGCAATAGATTTCTCAGGTACGTAGTCATTTTTGAAGACAGTTGCAGGACTTAAGGACTCAGTTTTGACACCATCCAGACTTTCATTCAACTAAAGTGGAACTTCAGTGGGATGAAATACTCACATCTAGCTCAGATAATTCATCCTCCAACATTGTTTGGTAACGTTCACTTTCAATAAGGCGGTGTAAACCAACCTAAAGCCCAATATTCAATGTCCTTTTTGCGACCTAAGGTTAACTAAAATGATTTTCTCAGCTCACATCTAGATTTCAAAGTGAAGTTTGCTCATGCTTGATAAACTTCTGCGTAGTTTTACCCGCCGCTCGAGAGTCAGAGCTGTGGTTGTCTCCGAGGTTGGTAAAATGGCGATTTATTTTGTGGTTTGTAACTGCTATATATGAACTCAATCTCTTCACTCGTTAGTCGTCCAGTATAGTTGGAAAAAGAGATGGCGATGAATTTAATTGATGGACACGATGGAGACTTAAAAATAAAAGCCAGCAAACAAACTGGTGGGAAATGAAAACTTATCACTAAGGTGTAGGTGAATGGATTGACAGAATAGTCAGAAAAGTCAAATAGAGGAGGCTTGAGGGTATTGAGGAACAATTTTAGATGGTGCCTATTATTAGACTGCTGTATATCAGTCTTAAGCGGTAGTCCACTTGGACGTCATCCTTTTGTTGCAGCATGGTTGTCCAGTTTCCGCTTAAAGCTTCCCACATAAGATAAAGTGGCAACAAATGATGTGGTATCAAGAGGTTAAAAAGGTGTAGGAGACGTTTACTCGCTTACCCAAATTATCTGGAAGGCGTCAGGCGAAATGTTTCAAATTCTACAACCGAGCATTTGAGAGTTAAACCTTGTGGCGTAAAACTCAGATACCGAGTCTGGGTTAGTTGGCAAGTGACTGTTTTAAGGCTTATGTTAGTTATAATAATATGTGACCACCAAACTAAGAATTCACGCAGAACTGTCTGGTGAAAATAAAAGTTCAAGATAGACATTAACCCCACGTCAGAAACAGGTATGACCTCTAATTCGTATTTGTTCCCTCACTGTCTGAGAAAAAACCAATCCATGATTCATTTGTGACCTTAGTTTCCCACACGACCATGTAATCAGGACATGTAAGTAAGTTGCTGGGACTCCTAATCACTACATAAATGAAGGGTTAAGATCGGGCTTTCATTTGATCCCGACATCTTAGTTCTAAATATACCTGTTTTAAATTCGGCCTTATTCGGAAATAATCCTCGAATTATGATTACGTTTTCTATATGGAGTTAGTGAGAAGTTAAGAGCAATATGGACAACTGGAAACAAGTAAAGCACCAAGTTAGATACAGGCAATCTTACTAGTTTTCTTTGATATTCTAATCCTTTGTTATCCTAATACCTGTATTGCATATGGCATAAAAGAGAGCATTACATGAGTAGACTGCTGGTCTCTTGACACCCCACCTGGAAAGCCAGCGCAAAACACCGACTGAAATTGGCATGACAGAGTCAGAAATAAGGAGAAGTTTTTACTTATCAGTTGCTTGTTTCCCATGGAAACACTTCTGTCTGCAAGGTTTTCAAAAGAGAGGTATACTGCTCCTGTAACAAGGAATTACCTGAAATAGTAGTGTGGTGAGAGCTGGCTGCTAGCCAAAGTTGGTAGAAAGTAATTGACGTCAATTTTTATGTCCCCAATATCGGTAGTGAGAAAATGAGAACAGAGGCTTTGCGTAGGCGGATACAGTTAGCATATGGATGATCTGACACAGCCACAAAGAGATGCAAGGTTAACTTTCTGTGAGAAACAACCAATCAAAAGACTGTGTTTTCTACTGACAGTAATCTACAATAATGTACATTAAAATCTATAAATGTGTTGATTTTCCTTAATAAACGATCTGTTGCCTGGCCCTTGTCTTCTGTTTTTACAGTAGGAAAGGTTTGTGGTTCAAGTGGATGATCTTGATTTGTTGGATTCTCTGAGCTGGTTGAATTAGCTCCGAAGCTTCTTTGTCCTTCTTAACTGCATCTTCGCCGGTGGCACAGCGGTTAGGATGCTCGCCAACCATGCACATGGTCTGAGGTTTGATCTCCTGCCGACAAACACCTTATATTAATGGTAGGCCTGCAAAATTTGGGCTACCGATATCACATGCTGAAAATTCCATACTTGTACCAAAAGTACGGTGTAGAATCAAGCTATAATGAAAAAGTAAACTAACTTCAATTCTCTACGAATCATATAATTGTGTCTCCTGAGAACCATTGTCGTGACTGTCAATTTACATCTCTATTGACTATTTTATTGACTTGGAATTTGAACTTTCCTGTCATGCAATTTATGTTTCATTGATTGGTAAATCTAGTCTTCAGTAATGTATCTGTTGTTCACTGATTTTAGAAAGAAGAGAACACAAAGTTCAGCAGATATCCTTTCGGCGACTTCATTTCCAAAAGCTGTACAATCACATTTAAATACCTAAATTTACACAGATACAATTATCATTCAATTCCACATAATTACGAAGTCACCTTTTATTCACCTACGTAATTATGTGGAATTGAATGATAATTGTATCTATGTAAATTTAGGTATTTGAATGCGATTGTACAGCTTTTGAAAACGAAATCGCCGAAAATATATCTCTGCTGAACTTCGTGTTCTCTTCTTTCGAATGAACTCCTTCATACAATGTCTGCACACAGTTTCTTTTGTGAGTCATTGGGTTATTGCTGTCATATAATAAAGGTTTTTGTAGTTTAGTATTCCTTCTGTTTTAGTTGATTTTCTGTATACTTGTGTTTCTGAATTTCCTATGTTAGTTCTCTCGATTAAGACATCTGATAGTGGAATTTTTTGTCTGATTCTTCTTATCTTGTGTATTTTAATATCTTCAAATATGTTGTTGATTGATTTGTGAATGTATTAACTTTTAGGGATTGACGGTATCGAACGTTCGCGAGTTGTACGGATTATACTAACGCAAGATCTTATACCAACAACCACTATAGTGTTCGTTCTTCGAGTACCAAATGGTAAAGCAAAAGACCAGATTTTGTCGTCCAAATACGATATATATTTTGGGACCAAATCGCGGGTAGGAATGAATGCTTAGCTAGCTAGTAATCGTGCACGCACGTGACACGACGAAGCACCAAATGGCGGGGATGCTTGACCGTAAGCCTTCAGCTAAACAAGTCGACTTAAACAGTGATGGTCAGCATCCAATGTTGAGTGATGATTGCTGTGGTTAATAATTTTGGGGAATTATTTACCGCTACAGCTCACTCCCCCCCTAGTGGGGTTGTGAGGACCCTAAGACATGACCAACCGGAAGTAAAAAAATCTCGATGGTTCCCTGATGGGTGAAAAAAATCTTCCGAGCGGCTTGATGGAGAGCCTGCTGGTCTGTCTGCCTATGCTAATAGGGTGTCTGTACATAGCTTCCTCAATGTTGTTCGTTGGATCCCGTGCTTCGTTTGTTTCCTGTCCAGTGCCCGTTGCACCTGGAAAAGAAAACAAGAATGCTGAGAACCTTGTCAAGAAAAATGTACCAAATAAGCGTTTTTTTACCAAAAAAAAATGACATGCATCTACTATACAGTAAAATAATGTAAAGTTCAAAATTTCGGGAAAAAAAATATACATCTTATATAATTTTATGTACGGTTATAGGAAAAATATCATTTACTTGTGTTAAATGACGCAACATAAAAAAAAATTGATGTGTCACTCAGTTATGTGAGATAGGTGTGAAGGTATTCTGGGAATCTAACGTGACGTCCAGAACGCGTTTTTTTAGAATGATCGACCGAAGGTTCGGTGGCTTTCGCCGTGCTAGGGAGTTCTTCGAAGACTGAAGTAGATTCAATTACTTGTGAATTATCGGGTACGTTTAGCTCCAGGCTAATGGGATTACCTTCCAAGTAAGCTGGTTTCAGACGGTCGATACTGACGGTGTCTTCGCGGCCTTTTTTGTCTAAAACGAAGAATTTATCAGTACGTTTAATCACTTTATATGGTCCGTCATATGGGGGTTCTAGAGGACGACGTACCGAGTCGCGACGAACAAATACATGTGAAGAAGTTTTTAAACAAGGGTGAACGAAAATATCAATGGACTGTGGTCGGAGGGGAGCAGGTTTAACTGAACGCATAGCGTTTGTAAGCCTGCTGACGTATGAGGAGTGATCTACTACTGGTGGGAAGCTCGAGGGAGAAACAAACTCACCTGGCAGTCGTAGTGTTGTGCCATATACTAGCTCAGAGGTAGTACAACCAGCATCGGTTTTTAAGGCGTTTCGTATCCCTAGGAGAACTAACGGAAGGGATTCAGTCCAGTGGGTGTTATTTGCAGCTGATAAACCAGCTTTCAACTGTCTGTGTAGACGTTCTACCATACCATTCGCTTGAGGATGGTAGGCTGTTGTTCGAAAACGCATGCAACCAAGGATTTTAGTCAAAGCGAAGAATAAACCGCTTTCGAATTGCCGCCCACGATCAGTTGTTATGGAAGATGGGCATCCAAAGTTTGCGATCCATCTCTCTACAAAGACGCGTGCGACAGTTTCAGCAGATATATCCTTGATGGGTACTGCTTCAGGCCATCGTGTGAAGCGATCGATGCAGGTTAACATATAGGTGTATCCATGAGATTCTGGAAGGGGGCCAACTAAATCTACATGGACGTGTTCGAAACGGGCATCAGGGATAAGAAAAGTGCCAAGGGGGCTTTTAGTGTGTCTTATTACCTTGCACTTTTGGCAAGCTAAGCACGTCTGTGCCCATTCCCTTACTTCCTTGTTAATACCAGGCCAGCAAAACCTACTAGTTACGAGTTTGACAGTAGTTCGAATACCTGGATGGGATAAGCCATGCAACGTATTGAAGACGTTACGGCGATAACTTTTAGGCACGATGGGGCGAGGAGTACTAGTGGAAATGTCACACAGAATAGTATCCTTTCCTATACCTAAGGGTTTCTTGGCTAGTTGTAGAGTTGTTTTCGACAACTCACGCTGAAGCTCAATATCTTCTTTTTGAAGACGAGCCAGTTTTACAAGGTCTATGCCGTCGATTTCGGTGAAAGAACAAATACGTGACAAGGCATCTGCCACAGTGTTGTTCACTCCGGAAACATGGCGAATATCTGATGTAAACTGTGAAACGTAATCTAGTTGTCGCGATTCCC